CCAGTGCTGTATCAGTTTGCTGACATATTTCCATTTCTAGTCCATCAATTCCTGGAGACTGATTTTTTACCAGCGCCTTCAGTGCAGCTTGGGCTTCTGCCTTCAATATCATCGGTTCTTGGTCATAATCTTACTCTTGAAATGGCTCATAATTAACCAAATCGTTTTAGTACAGTGTTTTTGTATATTCCTTCCATTTTTTTCAGGTTTCTTGAATTGCTCAATACTTTTCCCATAAAATCACTCAGAATTGCAACACAAGGAGTGACTTTTTTCTTCTTTAACTCTTTCAGCTTGAGAAATGCTGAGCATGTTCTTTGCTGGTTATCTAACTCCAGGTCTTTACATTTTATTATAATATTTTACTCTGTCTTCTCAACTTGCCCTTTGAAATTTTTTGTTCATCTCTTTTACTGTATTATTTCTTCTAGTAACTTTAGCTTCTCTATATTCAAGAGAATTAGGGTTAGGGTTAGGGTTAGGGTTAGTTCCAGAGTCCTTTCTGACATTCATTTTGGACTTTCTTTATTTCTTGTCTTTTTAATGATCTGTTACTTTATTTATGTATGATGTCCTTGTGTGATTCCATAATTCCTCTTGTCTTTCATCATTAGTGAGATTTGTTCTTGACATGGTCGCTAAATTTAGGTGAGATACACTCAAGATCATATTTTTGTTCTTGTGAAGTTAATTTAATTTTCTTCAGCTTCAACCTGAATTTGTGTATCAGCAATTGATGTCTTTTCCACAGCTGGCCCTTGGTCTTATTTAGCTGATGATCCTGAACTTCTCCACTGTCTCTTTCCACAGATGTAGTCTATGTGATTTCTGTGTATTCCATCTTGTGAGTTCCACATACATAGTTGCCATTTATGTTGTTGAGAAAAAGATATTTTCAATGACTGTGTCAGTCTTGTAAAATTCCATCGTGTGATCTCCAGCATCATTGGTATCACCACAGCCATATTTTCCAACTACTGAGCCTTCCTTTTGGTCTCCAGCTTTCACAGTCTAATCACCAAAAACTATGAATGCATCTTGATTGCATGTTTGATTAACTTCGAACTAAAAATGTTGGTAGAAAGTTTCAGTTTCTTCATTGACATTAGTGGCTAGATTGTAAACTGAATAGTAGTTGTATTAACTGGTCTTCCTCATATACATCTGGGTATTTTCTTATCACAGGCAGCATCGTACTTCAAAATACATCTTGACAGGCTGTTTTGACAATGAATGCAATGCCATTCCTCATCAAGTTGTCATTCCCGGCATTGTAAACCATATGATTGTCTGATTCAAAATGACCAATACCAGTCCATTTTAGATCACTAATGCCTAAGATACAAATCTTTATATGAGTTGCCTTTCAGTTTTGATGACTCCCAGTTTTCTTAGATTCATTCTTTATCCATTCCATAGTCCCATTATGCAAGGGTGTTTAGCTGTTTCTTCTCATGTTGAATTGTGCCCCATCAGCAAAAGAAGTTCCCGAAAGCTTTGTTCCGTTCACATCATTAAGGTTAACTCTACTTCGAGGAATGTCTTCCAATGTGAGGGACTTATCTTCTGGCACTGCATCAGACAATGTCTCACTGTTCTTCCAAAGGTTTTCAGGGACTTATCCCCCAGAACGGTGCTGCCAATTCCTTCTTCCTACTCTGTTCTTAGTCCAAAACTCTGCTGAAACCTGTCCAACATGAGCTGCCCTGCTGGTATTGGAAACACCAGTGACGTAGCCTTCACCAACCTCACAGCAACACGCAAACCACCACAGTGGGGGCGGGACCTGAGCTCTGACATCATTAATGACCTAACTTCATATGCTCGTTCTCAGTTATAGGCAGAAGTGACATTTTGGACCAAGTGTAATTAGTGTCAGTTCAGAGCCAGTGTCCAGTAATCTCCCAAATGCCTGATTATTTTTTCCAATGAATAGTCACTTGCGTAAAAGACTATATATCCCTTTGGGGGAATTCTGGAGAAAAGATTAACAGTATAAATGTTTGGTAGTTTAGTGGGGTTCTTCCTCAAGGGATTTGTTGTTGTTAAGTGCCTTCGAGTCAGTTCTGACCCATAGTGACCCTGTATAGGGTTTCCCAGGAGCAGCTGGTGAGCTTGAACTGCCAACCTTGGAGATCAACCTGACTTTAGAGTCCAGTGGACTATACCACGATGCCACACCAGGACTCCCTTTGTTCAAGGGGTTGTGGGTCTGTAAACTGACTCAGGTCTGGTAATTGAATGTCAGTGCTTGATTCTCTTTCTAGAAATTCAATCTAGACTGCCAGTCACATGACCTATAATACTTCTACAGGTAAACATTTGTATGATCTCCCATCGATTTCATTTATAGGGAGTCCTGGTGTGGCACTGTGGGTTAATGCGCCAGACTGCAAAGCCGTTGGAACTGCAAGGTTGTCAGTTCAAGCTCACCAGCTGCTCCTGGGAAACCCTATATAGGATCACTATGGGTCGGAACCAACTCGACGGCACTTCACAACAACAACAACAACAACAACATGTCTAAGTACTCAGCACCATAAATTCATACACGTCAGATTATTCTGAATAATGCTTTATCATACCCACCTCGTCGTTGGTGATTAAGTGACCTCTTGACCCCTACCACTCCAGGGTCCAATCACTCCCTTTGTAGTCAGGTGTCTTCATCAGTTAGGGTAGTTCCCATTATCAATTCAGACTTACATAAATTAACAATCTCCAAGGATGTTGAGGCTCCCTTCCCAAATTTGTTTCTCTTTGTTGGAGTGAATTGTGTGTTCTTTGGGCACTCCATGAGTCGATTTGTGGGTTCAACCTGCAAAATTCACTCTTACATGCCAATTCCCCTAAGCCTTTGGATACCTTCTTTGACAACATACAAAGGCAGTTCAGGCATTTCAGTAAGACTTACTGTAGACTACTACTTTATCCATGCTCCAGTGAACCAACCAAATGAACGATTAAATCCTTTTCTGACCTCTCAAGCTGAGATACTGAATGAAGAATCTGTGCTCAGTGGTCTGATATCAATAAACTCAGACTGATCCAACTTTATTTCTTCACCATCGGCCAACAACCTGAATTAGTCATCCCCACGCATAGTTCCCAGGAGCTCTGGTAGTATAGAGGTTAGGAGTCAGGCTGCTAACTTCAAGGTCAACAGTTTGAAACAACCAGCTGTTCCATGGGAGAAAGATGAGGCTTACTGCTCCCATAAAGATTTACAGCTTCAGAAACCTAGTCAGGGTCACCTTGAGTTGGAAGCGACTCCACAGCACATAACCACCACTCATGTTTCCCAGGGTTCTCATTGTATGTATTAGAAAACGTAAACAGTTCTTTTGGAGTGTAGCATGCCTCCTCATGGGTTTTGGGGGTTCCACCATTTGGAGATCACTAGGAATTAAGTCTAATTGTAGATCTAGACACTAAAAGGGGTGATAGGGTTGGTCCTGGGTAAGTTCAGCAATTTCTTGTAAGGCATCAGCCCCAGGTGATATCTCAGACAGTGACTCTTCAGGCATAGCTGAGTTAATCTCTTCAGATCAGGGTGGAAAGGATGATGGTTTTACTGGAGAGACTGGCTAAGCAGAAGCACATGGAATCATCTCTTCAGGTAAGAGTAAGAGGGCTAGTTCTGTTAGCAAGAGGAATTCATGAAGTTTAGGGGCTCAGTGTCCCCAGCTTTCTGGGGCCATACATCACCATCCCAGCATTCAGGATTCCAAGTCTTTCCAATCAATGCCCTCACTTTTAACTTCAGACAACAATCAAGGTTGGAAAGTCACCGGCACTGTAATTCAGCTACTCTATGATAAGGCCCGGGGCTTGCTTTTGGCACTATCAGCTTTATTACTAAGGCTTTCCCTCCAGGCACAAGTGGCAACTTTCAGGTCTTGTAGGTAGCACTTCCAGTCCTGGTGTGCTGCTGTGGGTTAATGTGCCAGACTGCAAAGCTGTTTGAATTGTAAGGTTGGCCATTCAGGCTACCAGCTGCTTCTTAGAAACCCTATTCAAGGTTGCTATGGGTCAGAACTGACTCAGCGGCACTTCACAACAACAAATGCACCACTGGAGCTGTGACTACAGCTTGGAGCTCCTCCTTCCCTTACACCACTTTGCCTAGCAAAAGTAGAACCATACAACCAGCCTTCTTATACTTCTCATTCTGACACAATTCTAGAAAAGTATCAAATAGGAAATAACCCACAGCCTTTCATGACTATCTGGTCCATCCGTGGTGATCCCTTTTGTATTGCTACTGACACCTCACGCCATGGACTAGCAGTTCCCTCTTTACTGCTGGGGACAGTCATCAAGACTAGTGAGACTAGAAAACCCAACCTCACAGTCTATTCCTAGAACCATTCATTGTACCAGATGTCTTAGATTGAGTTCTCTAGAGAAGCATATATATAAAACTACAAACTACAAATATATATATATATATATATATATATATATATATATAGAGAGAGAGAGAGATTTATTTCAAAGAAATACACAGAAAGAGAGAGAGAGATTTATTTCAATTTCTCATGCAATTGTGAAGGATACCAAGTCCCAAATGGGTGGCTTAGGCATCAGACTGTTTGCTCCTCCTGACTCACGTGATTTCAGGGGCTGATGAACCCCAAAGCAGCTGGTCAGGCAGCAAGCTGCTGGCTCATATCTCAAGAACTGGAGGTCAGATGAGTCAGGAACAGGATGGAAAGAGGGAAAGACCCTTGTCAGAATGCCCATATATAGTAAATTGGTTAGATGAAGACCACACCCACATGGAAGTCCCATTTCCCTCAGATCACAAGATAAAAAGGAAACTTACATAACACGGAGAATCATACCCTAGCCATGCAACCATTAACTATCACACAGCCCTCTGTCTTGTGTGTTTCCCTAGGAGGCAAGTGTGGGCTGCCCCCAGCTTCACAGACGCAACAGCCCCTCCTGGGAGCAGGTGGTGGCCAGGGCGATGGTGGGAGCTCCGGAGCCACCCCATGGCTACTGAGGGGGCAGCGGGCATGGTGTGCTGCCTGTGGGTCCTGGTCCTGGTGTCCTCGGCTCTGGCCCTGGAAGGTGAGACAAGGGGAGTCAAGGGTCACTCAGGGTGGTGGGATGGATAAAGAGACAGCAGATGGAGAAGGGCTGCCTCAGGCTTTTCCAGAAAGATCCCAGAAGGCAGCTGTGCTCCTTGGGCATGAGGAATAGTGGGGCAGGGAGTGGCAGGCAGTCTGCATCATTAGTTGTGGGTTGAGGATGCCCTTGCTGGCTGATGCTTGGCCACCATGTGCCCCTGTTTCTCTCCTGACAGAGGTATTACTGGACACCACCGGGGAGACCTCAGAGATAGGCTGGCTCACCTACCCTCCAGGTGGGGTGAGTGCTGCTCCCTAGAGGGGGGCTTGAGAAGGACGCCTGGGTGGAGATGATAGGACAGACCTCCACCCTCTGGAGGGGCAGAACAAGTCTTCACCCACCCGGCTCGTATGTTATTAGCCGCCTGCCCCACGGTTGAAGAATTGTGCCCCCACCCCCACCCCACACACACACCGGCGCGCGCACGTGCTTGGTCCCCAAGGCCCGCAGCTCATTCTTCTCTGCTCCCGCCCGACAGTGGGACGAGGTGAGCGTCCTGGATGACCAGCGGCGCCTGACTCGCACCTTCGAGGCCTGCCACGTGGCGCGGTCGGCGGGCTCCGGCCAGGACAACTGGCTGCAGACACACTTCGTGGAGCGGCGCGGTGTACACCGGGCCCACGTCCGTCTGCACTTCTCGGTGCGCGCCTGTGCCAGCCTGGCCGTGGGCGGCGGCGCCTGCCGGGAGACCTTCACTCTTTACTACCGTCAGGCTGACAGTCCTGACGGACCTGACGCCACCGAGTCGTGGCATCGCCAACACTGGACCAAGGTAGACACGATCGCGGCGGATGAGAGCTTCCCGGCGGCTTCCTCATCCTCGGCGTGGGCAGATGGGCAGCGCGCTGGGCTGCAACTCAACGTCAAGGAGCGCAGCTTCGGACCTCTCACACGCCGCGGCTTCTACGTGGCCTTCCAGGACACTGGCGCCTGCCTGGCTCTAGTGGCCGTGAGACTCTTCTCCTACGCCTGCCCGGCCACGTTTCGAGCCTTCGCCTCCTTTCCTGAGACACAGGCCAGTGGGGCCGGGGGCGCCTCCCTGGTGGCCGCCGTGGGCACCTGTGTGGCTCATGCACAGCCGGTAGAGGATGGAGTGGGGGGCCAGACAGGGGACAGCTCTCCCAGATTGCACTGCAACGGAGAGGGCAAGTGGATGGTGGCCGTTGGGGGCTGCCGCTGCCAGTCTGGACACCAGCCTGACCCCTGGGGGAAGGCCTGCCAAGGTGAGACCCACTGAGTTTAGATTCCTCAACTGCCAGCTCCTTGTCTCTGAACACCCCAAATGCCACTTTATTCCCAAAATGTCAGGAGCAATTTATCTTGGGAAAGGATCCGTTTTACTGTTGTTTTTTTTTCTCCCAATTCCAGAAAGCTCACAAACTTGCTCTCATCCATTCTGAAATTTCTAGAATTTTCTGGAACCTTCGATAGCAATCAATGAGGGTCCTAGGGCTGCAGGCCCGAGAAGTGAGAGCCTTAAAAGGAGCTAAACTCCCTAGGGGGCAGTCCTGGGACCTCCACAGCCTCCCTGAGGGGGCTTGGTACCTGGGCAGGTAGCAGGGTGCAGGTGTGGGAAGGAGGTGGGCGCCTGGGCCCGGTGGGAGGTGGCAGGACCCATACATACAGGTCTAAATTGTGCAGACAAACCCAGGACACGTGGCTGCCCCGGGCCTCAGTCTGCCTATAGCCACTTCCTCACTTTTTCCATTCTGGTGGTGACATTCCACGAGGGTGATTTGCAGACTTAATCCCTGCCTGAGGATAGGAAAGGGGTGATGTTTGGGCGTCAGCTGGAATTGGAGCTGGCACTGAGACACTGCTGCAAAGAAGCCTGGGCAGGAGCTTAGGGCACTGTGGGAAGTGTGTGTTTATGTGTGTGTGTGTGTGTGTGTGTGTGTGTCGGGGGGGGGGCGGTTTGAAGCCGTGAACATGACACTCCACCCTATCTCCCACCCCCTAGCCTGCCCCACCGGATTCTATAAGTCCTACGCAGGGAACCAGCCTTGCTCTCGGTGCCCCGCCCACAGCCACGCCCCGGACCCCGCGGCACCCCTGTGCCCCTGCCTCCCTGGCTTCTACCGCGCAGGATCCGACCCCCCAAATGCTCCCTGTACTGGTGAGCACCCCATCCTGTACCCCAGGGACCCAGGGGCGGGACAGAGCTTAGGTGTGGGGCCAGGAGTAACAAAGAGAGGTTGCAATGGGTGGTTTCTCTGTGTCATGGATCCCATCGCCTTCCTGCCCCAGTCCTCCCTGCCCTCCCCTCCTCCCGCCTCCCTGCCACAGCCCCCAACCCGCGCCTCCCTGGTCCCCAGGCCCACCCTCTGCTCCCCGCGAGCTCTGGTTCGAGGTGCAAGGCTCGGCACTCATGCTGCACTGGCGTCTGCCTCGGGAGCTGGGGGGCCGCGGCGACCTTCTCTTTAACGTCGTATGCAAGGAGTGTCCAGGCCGCGGGGAGCCTGGTGCAGGGGCCTGTCGCCGCTGCAGGGACGAGGTTTACTTCGACCCCCGTCAGAGAGGCCTGACAGAGAGCCGAGTGCTGGTCGGAGGCCTCCGGGCACACGTGCCATACGTCCTGGAGGTGCAGGCGGTCAACGGCGTGTCCGAACTCAGTCCTGAACCGCCTTCGGCAGCTGCCATCAACGTTAGTACCATTCACGAAGGTGAGCCTGTTTCCTGAGGCCCCGCCCCACCGAGGCCCCGCCCACACACCCCGTGTCCCCGCCCAGCTCCTGTGCATCCCAATCGTCTGAGACTCCTGCATCTCCTGAGGCCCCCTCCCGCCTCCACGTCCCTGACGGTGCCTCTGACAGTCCCCTCCGCAGTCCCTGTGGTACACCAGGTGAGCAGGGCGTCCGACAGCATCACTGTATCTTGGCCGCAACCCGAGCAGACCAACGGGAACATCCTGGACTATCAGCTGCGATACTACGACCAGGTGCGTGGGGCCCAGGGAGGTAAGGGGAAGGCAGGGGGGTGCTGGCAGGGGAGGTGAGCAGGCAGTGTCCCAGCCGTGGGATAGGAGCGAATGAGTGGTTACCCCCTAGGCTGAAGACGAGTCCCGCTCCTTTACCCTGACCAGCGAGACCAACACAGCCACCGTGACACGGCTGAGGCCTGGTCACATCTATGGCTTCCAGGTGCGCGCTCGCACAGCCGCGGGCCACGGCCCCTACGGAAGCAGGGCCTACTTCCAGACGCTGCCCCTAGGTGAGAGGTCTATGGGCGAAGGGGTCTGTGGATGATGGGGGCCTGGCTCAGAGGGAGTCAGGGAGACCTGAGCAGAGGCTAGCATCCTGCCTTCGGTTCTCTAGGTGAGGATCTTTGAGGAGAGTGAGGCTGAGTAGCTGTCCTGGCTTCAGCCTCGGTGCGAGTGTGTGACGCTCCACCTGTGACCCTGTGTGTGTGTGTGTGTGTGTGTGTATGTGTGTGTGTGTGTGTGAGTGGGTGGGTGGGAGAGAGAGAGCGAGAGTGAGAGAGAGAGAGAGAGAGAGAGAGAGAGAGAGAGAGAGAGAGCTTCAGCCCACCTGTGCCCACCTGTGATCTAGGCGGTTCTCTCCTTAGGGGAACTGTCCACTCAGCTCCCAGAGAGGTTCTCCTTGGTGGTAGGCTCAGTTTTGGGGGCCTTGGCTTTCCTACTGCTGGGGGCCATAGCAGTACTGACTCTTGTCTTCCAGAGGTAAGCTCCCCCAACCACCTTGAGACCCCCTGAAGACACCCCACCCAAACCTCCTCCAATCCCTAGCTTCTTCCCCATGCCATACAGAGCTGGGCAGGGACCCAAAGCTCTCCTTCCAACGATGAGGGCAGGATGGAAGTGGAGGGGGTGGTGTCCTTTCAGAACTATGCTCTGTCCCCCAGGAGACGACGAGGGACTGGCTACTCTGAGCGTCTGCAGCAGCACAGCAGCCCAGGTGGGGTGGGGGCGTGGTGGAGGAGAGTCCTTGGTGACCCATCTGGTGTCCTCCTTCACATGGAGCTCCCCTCCCTGCAGGACTTGGGGTGAAGTATTACATTGACCCCTCTGCGTATGAGGACCCCTGCCAGGCTGTCCAGGAGCTTGCCCGGGAGGTTGACCCTGCATACATCAAGCTGGAGGAAGTCATTGGGACAGGTACTGTGGTCAAGGTCCAGGGTGGCCAGGCCCCCTAGCGTGGCAGATCCCTAGCCACCCTTTACTCCCCTTCTTCTCCAGGCTCCTTTGGAGAGGTACATCGGGGCCGGCTGCAGCCCCGGGGTCGGCGGGAACAAGCTGTGGCCATCCAGGCCTTGTGGGCCGGGGGTCCTGAGAGCCTGCAGACAGCCTTCCTGGGCCGGGCAGCCATGCTGGGCCAGTTCCATCACCCCAACATCCTACGACTGGAGGGCGTGGTCACCCGGAGCTGGCCTCTCATGGTGCTGACAGAGCTCATGGAACTGGGCCCCCTGGACAGCTTTCTCAGGGTCAGTGGGCTTAGGCAGGAGGGGGCTTGGCCCAGGAGGGGTGGGTCTTCCATGCTTCCAGGAGACCAAGACTCAGGTCTCTTTGGTCCGTGCTCTGGTTCCCTGCCCCCCCATGCCCATTTGTGATGTGACCCTCCCCTTTGGCCCATACCCAGCAACGAGAGGGCCAGTTCAGCAGCCTGCAGCTGGTGGCCATGCAGAGGGGAGTGGCAGCGGCCCTGCAGTACCTGGCCAGCTTCGCCTTCGTGCATCGTGCCCTGTCTGCCCACAGCGTGCTGGTCAACAGCCACCTGGTGTGCAAGGTGGCACACCTGGGCCACACACCTCAGGTGGGGGCACAGCATGCAGAGGGTGGGACCCGAGGGTAGGGTGTGCTGAAGCCATATATTTGCCAAAGGAGCAGTGGCTCCCTGCTGAGAGTGGGGTTCAGAACTTTGAGGCAAAAAGGAGACCCCCTAGCAAGATCACACAGACAGACCCCAGTCCCCAGCTCTAGAGTCCTGAACCCAGACAGGTCTTACGCCTCTGCATTCTGTCTCTAAAGTGGAGCTGGTCTCGTCCACCCAAAGGCTGTGAGGGTAGTTGGACCTGCCTTGTACCCCAGCCCCAGGGATCCATGGCTTTCCCCTTCTCTCCACCTAGGGCCCAGGCTGCATGCTCCGCTGGGCGGCCCCTGAGGTCATCGCACAAGCAAAACACACCATGTCTAGTGATGTCTGGAGCTTTGGGGTGGTGATGTGGGAGGTGATGAGCTATGGAGAACGGCCTTACTGGGACATGAGCGACCAGGAGGTGAGTTCCCCCCACCTGTGCACCTCTATATGGCCCTGGACCTATGCTAAGACCTGGGGACACTCCTGATCCATGCTGTGTCCCTTCCCAGTCCAACCTCACACCCTGCCTGACACTGTCCTACCCCACCTGATGGCCCACCCCTTCCCACTTCATATCCATCTCTGACCCTAGGTGCTAAGTGCCATAGAGCAGGAGTTCCGACTGCCCCCACCCCCAGGCTGTCCTCCTGGGCTGCATCTACTTATGCTGGACACGTGGCAGAAAGACTGTGCCCAGCGGCCCCACTTTGACCAGCTGGTGGCTGCACTAGACAAGATGATCCGCAAGCCAGATACTCTGCAGGCGTGCGGGGGCTCCCAGGACAGGTCTGGGCTGTGAGTCTGCAGTCTGCGGGTGCCAGGGGTGGGGGAAGCAGACAAAAATGGAAAATGGAGGAAGGGGCTGGCTAAAATGGAGAGGGGACCATGACCTGCCAATGCCCCCTTCAGGCCTTCCCAGGCCCTTCTGGACCCTGTGGTTCTGGATTTCCTGTCCCTGGACTCCCCAAAGGCCTGGCTCTCGGCCATCGGGCTTGAGTGTTACCAGGAAAACTTCACCAGACTGGGGCTCTGCTCCTTCAGTGACGTGGCCCAGCTCAGCCTTGAGTAAGCAGTGTGGGGCACCCCCAGCTGGTGGCAGGGCATGGGGAGCAGGCCTGATGGACTCTTCCCCCAGGGACCTGCCTGCCCTGGGCATCACACTGGCCGGCCACCAGAAGAAACTTCTACACAACGTCCAGCTTCTGCAGCAGCACTTGAGGCCGCCTGGGTCCGTGGAGGTCTGAGGCCCTGGCATCGTGGGTTTGCATGGCACCCACCCACCACCATCCTGAACATGGAGGTCATGGCCTGTGCCCACCGAGCCCGGCCCTGTGGACACTGCACCCTATGCTCCCCCATCTCCCATATTAAAGGGAAAGAAGGGATTTTGCAAGTTGGTGTTATGGCAGCTTCAGTCTGCAAGGTCGGTGAGGAAGAGGGTCACAGAGGGTAGGCAGCCGGTGTCCAGAGATGTACGAGGGACAAGGAAGAGCAGGAGTGACTTTATTGGAAGCCGGAGGGGCAAGAGTGGCCCCAACTTTCCCCCATCTTGACACCACTCTCCCTCACACACCTGCCCACAGCCCAGCGTCCCCCACGGTCTGACCATCTAGGGAAGCATGACCCCTCCCACTTGTATGCATGGGTGTGGCCTGGCAGGTAGCCCCTCCCATTTACTAGAAGGGGCGGGGCCTGGGCTTAAAGTGCTTTGCTGACAGTGCAGGGGTCCCTCTGGAGGGGGAAGGGGTTGTCTGCAGACTGGCTCCTTCCTCTGGTCAGCTGCATTGAGTTCATCGGGTCCTTTGTGAGACCCCTCCCGGCCCAAGCAAGGGCACTGGAGGCACAAGAGGACGCACCCAGCCGGCCTCCTGTTATCCTGTGGTGGTTGCTCATCAGCTCAAAGGAGGTGGCAACCATTTAGATCTGGTACTCCCAACTGTCTCCGTCCTCCTCCAAGCCTCTGTTAACCAAGCCCCTCAGCTCCCTCCGGAAGGCCCCCTGCCGCAGCCGTTCCCAGTTGGTGCTGCTCCGTGAAGTACTCCGAGACACCGAGGGTGTGGGGAGGGGCAGGTGCTGGCCAGAGGGGCGGTCCAGCTGCAGCTTCTGCACCGAGGTGTCGTCCACGTCGTCGGAGCCCAGGGTTTGGAAGGCCTGTGCGTAGCGCTGCACACGCTGCCGATTGAGGTCCTGCCTGTCTTCTACCCTGCAGAGCGCCAGGACTTAAGAGCCGGACCCCCCTCATGGCTGGCCTTCTGCCCCCACCTTGTCAGCACAGAAAGTACTCTAAGGGGACTCCACACCACTGACCTGTCCCTTAGCAGCAGCTCAGCCCTCAGTGTGGGGTGTGCACAGACCCTTATGGGGCCCCTGGGAACCAGAAACCAGGTTCAGAGAGGCCCCGCCCTACATATCACTCACCTCAGGTACCAGCGGTCTCCCAGTCCGTACTCGCGCCCACAGATGCCAGAGCGAGGCCACAGGCAGCGAGGCAGCTTCCGTTCCAGCATCACCGTGGTGTCCACTACCTGGGAGGAAAAGTCAGACAGAGGCAGGTCCAGAGCAGAAACAAGAAGGAAGGGGAGAAGCGGCACTAGAGTTCCTGGCTCCCAGGGTGGTGGGGCCATCAACTGACCCCTAATCTGCTGACCCTCTTCTCTGGAGACAGCTGATGTGACACAGGCTGACACCGTGGGGACACCAGGCAGCGGCTGTAGAAATTGGTAAAGCTTGTTCTCACGGAAAACGGATGCAAGTGAGCCCATTTTAACAAAAAGGTCCTCAGGGATACGGGATATTTTGACCCAGCGCACAGATCCGCCACTTACAATGATCCAGCGCTGGTTATTAACCTACAGGGATCAAGCAGTCTTCTCAGAACGGACTCTGCTTTTATTTTACTCAGCTTTCTACCCAACACAGTAAAGTGGCTTCCGATTTTCAGCATTTCCATTTTGAGTTTGGTGGAATTATTTTTGCTGTGATAAACCACTTTCTAAGAATATTTTATGATGAGGTGTTATTCACTGAGTAGTCATTTGCCCCCATTAGGATGATGTGACTAAAGCAGTTGCTACTACAATTGCAAACGTATATGGCATCATTTTTAGCAAGTCTGATTTTTCTGGGTCAAATTGTACAGACTTAAATATCGTCAGGAGGCTTGGTACTCGCGTTTTCATTCTGTAATGAAATCTGCTGAATGACGCGTTAGCCAGCGTTAGCCTCTTTTTCTTCATTATTCTTGAAAAATGAGGTTTTCATTTTTTCTTAGCTAGATCCTGGTGTGGCGCTGTGGTCTAATGCGTCAGACTGCAAAGTCGTTTGATCGGTGGTTCAAGCCCACCAGCTGCTCCTTAGAAACCCTATACAGGGTCACTGTGGGTCGGAATCAACTCGACGGCACTCAACAACAATTGTTGAGGAATCCTGGTGGCATTGGGGGTTAAGCACTGACCTAAATAAAAGGTTGAGTCTACCAGTGACTCTATGGGAGAAAGATGAGGCAGTTTGCTTCCAAAAATATTTACAACCTCGGAAATCCTAGGTAGCCGTTTAACTGTGCCCTGAAGGGTGGCTACAAGTTCGTTGGCAGTGAGTTTTGTTTTAACTGTTGAGAAAACAACGTGGAATTTTTTAGCTACTTTAGTACTGGGGTCCCTGAGTGGTACAAATGGCTGACACGCTCAGCTGCTAATTGGGATTAGGGTCACCTTGGAACAATTGCCTATCTGCCACAGAAAAATCAACCATTAAAAACTCTAGGGAGCCCAGCTCTACTTGGGATTTCTATGAGTCCGAGTCTATTTGGCAGTACCTGGAACATGTATTCCAGTATTTCTAAGTAATGTTGATCATCCAAGTCTGCATATGTCGCTGTCTTTTGTGACTCGTGCAATCACCATGCAAATGTAGGGGGCAAAACACCTGCCTCTTTGAGCTAGCTCCACTCTTAGGCAGAAGGGGTGGCCTGCAGTAGACCTCCCAACCTCTAGGAGGCTCACCTGAACCCTCCACAGCTCATCCCGCTCATGGGCCACCCGCCAGTGAGTGTCGCCCATCATAGCAATGAGGAGGTTGAGCATGAGCAAAGCCGCGATGATGGCAAAGGCAGCGTAGGTAACATTGAACATGACAGGCAAGTCCACGTCGTAGTTGGCAGGGCCATCGATGACGGTGAGGAACAGCTCGAAGGTGCTGAGCAGAGCCATGGGGTAGTCATAGAAATGACCCAGCTCGTGAGGGTCCTCGGTCTGGAAGAGGATATAGAAGGCTGCCCCGCCCAGGAGCTGGAGGTTACCAGAGCAACTGCAAGCACGACCAACCTATAGCAGATCCTAGGCCCTTTTCAGTCCTGTTCCCATCACCGATGGCATCATCCTGTGCCGTGGGGTTCAGACATGGGATTCTTTTGTTCTCTGGCTTTCCCATGGCTCTTCCTGACCCCATCAGCCACCTCTTCCTCACACTCTCTCTCCCTCCCCATGGTATCCAATGTCTCCTCTTCAGACAACGCATCACCTCCTTTTGCACTTTATTTCCCTCCCATATGTTTCCCCGGAGACATTCTGTGTGCTGGAGAGTCCTAGTCTCCCCCTCCCACAGCCTCAGCTGAGCAGGTTATTTACCTGAGGCGAAGCCCAGGATGACCACCACCATCAGCCAGCAGAAACGCATCAGGTCTCCAAAGATCATCTAGAGGCAGGAGAAAGACTATTGCCACATGTCCCCAGCAGTTACCCCTTCCAACCTCTAACAGGCTAACCCCTACGTCTATTAGCTCCACCCTCTAGGACAGGAAGTGGCAAACTAGAGTCTGTCAGCCAGATTGACCTAAACATTCTCATGCCTTAGATCATAGAAGCATTCTTACATCTTGAAAGGGTTGTAGGAGGAGGAGGAAAGAAAGGAGAAAAGGGTGAAGAGAAAGAAAAGGTGGAGGAGGAGAGGAAGAAACAAGGGAAGACACCATACTTACCCACAACACCCAAAACAGTTGCTATGTGGCCCTTTACATATGTGTTTCTAAGCCCTGCTCTAGGACCTTCCTCTAGCAGGCCAGTTCTATAGCTGAGAATGGGGGACAACTGGGGAAGACACACACCTTCTGGATCATGATGGTGAATGGACCCAGCATCTGGAATCCTCGGGCAAAGTACATGACATTGCACCAGCCCAGTACCAGGGCGAAGGACATGGGCACCACCTCCCCGTTGGAATTGGTGAGCCTCATGACCATGGTGACCAGCACCATGCAGGCGTAGGTGACACTGGGGAGGGAGAGAAGCAGGCTGGGGATCAGCAGCCACAAGGTTACTGTACCCACAGACTCCAATTCACACATGTTCCTGGAGTGAAGGGAAGCCGGAACCCAGCCAGGTGAGAAAAGGAGTCGGGGGGAGGGGGGCAGGAAGGAGACTCACATGAGGATATGGAATGGCCCCCCAAGCATGGTCTGTCCAAAGAAGCGAGTGACCCCAACCCTGAAAATATCCGGGATCTGGGGAGAGGCCAGGAAGATGAAAAAAACACTTGTAGACTGGAACTCAGGTGGGGGCCCAGGCAGATGGCCTCATGTGGACCCCACCCACACCTACCTCCAGGACCAGGATAATCACAGCACCGAAGACAGTCACCAGCTCCCCAATCAGGCGGATGTTATCCTTGGTGGTTACGTAGGCCTCCTGAGGTGTGGGGGGATGGTCTGAGCACTCAGGGTGCACCCCCAAAGTGTCTGCCCAGGCCAACTTGGTTGACTGGCAGGTACAGTTGTCCCCAGGCTTGCCCTCAGAGTGTATGTGTGCATGTGGCTGCTTAGAGTTGCTGACATTCATGAGACCATGGGAGGGGAGTGATGTGGCCCCCATAGGAGAAAGCAGTCACCTGGAGCAGTTTCTGCTGCAGGAGGGTGTTGTCTCGGGGGCCCGTGCGGTTGCTGGTCCTGGGCTTGAGGGGGCGGTAGACGCAGCACATGGTGAAGCAGACGATGTAGAGCAGGTAGACGGCGCCCAGCACACAGAAGTACGGCCGCCCGTACCGCTTCCACTTGAGACTCACCAGCTCCTTCACGGGTGTCTGGTCCAGGATCTGGCGTGCCTACGGGGTCGGAGGAGCAGGCAGCTCATACCCCTAGACCTTACCAATACCTGCACTCCCTGCTTGCTCTGAGAGGTGCTTGGCCATTTCAGCTGCCCTGCCCGGTGCCCCTGCCCAAGGCCTGCAGCTCCTGTGTGCTCTGAGACGGACCAGACCATGCTAGCTGCACTGCCCAGCAATTCCCACTGAGCATCCCTGTTAATTCATGCCCAGTGTCCACCATCCACACCTCACGCTTCTTGGTGGTGACAATGAGCTCCAAGAGGGACAGTTCTTCTCCCCATGAGTCGATCTCAGTGAGGTCGTAGAGGGTGGAGGTCAGAGGCCCATAAGTCCACTGGATGTGCTTCCGCCGCTGCATCAGGTGCTGGAACATCTGGGGAGGAAGGGGGAGTCAGGAAGGACTGGCCACCTCCCCGGGGTATGGTCAGCAGGGTTGGGTGGTGGACCTCTAGGGCCAAGGACTTCTGGAGCAGACTGTTCTTCCTCCAGGACCACAGCTGTGGTGGACACAAGGAACCCAGAGCCCACTCCCATCCCATACTCAGAGCTCAGAAGCTGGTATTCTGTGGGCTGCAAAGGGCAGACAGGAAACTGGGAGAGACAGGAGCAGTCAGGCAACAGGGCAGGGACCAGCATGGGGAGGATGAGAAGGGGGCAGTCAGGGAGTGTAAGCACAGGGACCCCCAAGACACAGAGCACGAGGAAGCCCCGGGTGGGCATCCTCACCACAGTGTTGCCCTCCACACCGGCCAGCTTGAAGGGGGTGAGGCCCTGGTGGTTGGGCATGAGGTCCAGTGACTGCAGGGAGTCACCCCCACGTCCATCATAGGACAGCAGCAGGTTGTACATCTGGCAGGCGAAGGTCTTGTTGGGCTGGAGGGTGAGGATGTGCAGCACGGTGTTTCCTGGGGGGACATGGTGTCACTGGCCACTGTGCCCAGACCTGGGGTGGCCCCCACACCCAAGGGCCCTGCCCCTCTTACCCAGGGCATCCTGGGCGCGGATATCAGCTCCGTGCTCAATGAGCAGTCGCACAATCTCCTCACTGCCCACGCAGGCGGCAAAGGACAGCGGGTGCTCCCCTGGGGGGCAGAGGTCGTGGGTGGAGAGTGGGGCTGTCCCCAGTGTCCACCCCCCACATCTCAGCTGGGGGCCCACGTGGAGAGTGGGAGAATTGGGGCGATGTACCCACCCAGCCCCTAGACTCTCACCAAAGTAGATGAGGTTGCGGGGGCTGCGGCGGAAGGCAGCCCCTGTGGCTCTCGCTGAGACGCTGGCCCCATGCGCGAGCAAAGCTCGTACCAAGTTCACATTCTGGTTCACAACAGCGATGTGCAGCGCAGTCTGACCTGGCCAGAGAGAGTGTCAGGGACACTGTCCTGTCTCCCTGGGACACTGTCTGGTCTCCCTGGGGTCCTGGTCCTTCCCCCAAGGTGGTTGGGAGGGATGGGGAGAGCCCAGGGGTCTGTCATTCTCACCCACCCCCTCTCTACCTTGGCACGTGCTCAACTGACAGGAAAAGGGAGTCCGAGAGAAAGATCAATTAGGGGGCTTGAGTCCCACTTGGGTGTCCCAAATGGCCATGCCTCTAGACTGCAGCTGGTCCCTTCCCATCCCCGGGTCCTGCCTCACCCTCATACAGCTCGGATACCATGGGCTCCCGGACCAACTCGGGGGCAGCCTCCATCAGCAGCAGGGAGGCTTCCAGGTTGTCATAGAGGGCAGCCACGTGCAGTGCTGTTTCCCCCAGGGCTCCTGCAGGGGACACAATAGAGAGGCTGTGGTCTCTGGGCCAGGGTGGGTGGGGGGAGATTATCAGCCTCCCTATGTAGTCCCAGGCTCCTGTGCAATCTTGGGGCCACTCATGTGGACTCTGGGGACCCCCTCTTGATCTCAGGTCCCCCAGGTACTGGCCATGGCCACTCTGGCTCATCCCTTACCCCTCTGATGTAGTTCACAGGCCTCATACTTGATGAGCTTGGCCAACACCTGGACATCATTTTCCTTGGCAGCCAGAAGGAGCGGGGACTCCCAGATCCTACAGGGGTGGGATAAGACCATATGACTGTGTGGGGGTGGGGGGGGGGCTGTGCATCCAGGGGTGTGACCCCAGCCACCACTGCAGACACGAGCCCTGGGGGTGATGAGACCTCCCAATGCCAGAGGTGGAGCCATTGGAGAGGGGTGTGCCAGTACTCCTGCCCACTTAATTCACCCACACCACTGTTCTCCTGCGTGGGTGGGAGGCCTCCATGCCCTGCCCTGACCCCCGGTGTTTGTGGCTGTATGGTAGCCATCTCAGACCCAGAGGGCAGGCGTAGGTAGAGAGTCCACTTCCTTCCTTGTCCCCAACTCTGGCCTCCCGCAGTCTCCAGATATCCTCCTGGTGAGGTCCCCTCTGTCCCCTCATCATCGGGCATGGCATGGCTGCCCCTTAGATTCATGCAGGAAGTCCATGGATGTTGGTGACGCAGTTTCCCTGCTCATGTTCAGCCTGCAGGACAGCCCCAGCAGAGCCTCCTCTTCCTCAGCAATGTCTTCGGGCTATGCCTCATGTGATAGCTTGTAAGATTCATTGACTCTCAGAGAATCTGCATTTAACCAGGTCCTGGTGGATCCTTGTGGACACTGGAGACGCTCTGCTAGAGCCGCGTGTGGTCCCTGCATGCGGTTCCCAAGGCAAGGAGTCAGGGGCCAGCTCAGGCACAAGTGAAAGTCTGGAAGCTTCGTCCCCTCATGCCCAACACTGCCTGTAGGGCCCCAGGGCTCCTTGATTCTAACTGTGTACACAGTGAAGGCACTAGGTGACCAGAAGTGGACCAGAAGCCAGGACACCTTTCAGAGGTTCTCAGCCTGGACTTGTGGGTGTGGTGGCCAGTCTTGCCCACTGACCCCCTCCTGGCCCAGCCAATGAAGAATTCAGGGACCCTGTACATTTCAGGTCTCTAGGGTAGGTTCCAAGGCACCAGGTGACCATCAGTGGACCAGGAGCCAGGGCACCTTTCAGAGGTTATGACCCCGAGTTTCTGGGTGTGCATGGTCAGTCCTGCCCTCTGACCCTCTTCTGGCCCAGTGAGTGCAGAATTCAGGAATCCTGTACATTTCAGGTCCAAGGGGCCCTGATGACAATGATAAGCACTCTCAGCTGCTAGTCCACAGGTCAGTAGCTTTGAGCTCTCTCAGCATCTCCAAAGCCACCCATGACTATGAGAGTAAGATGTATCAGCTGCTTCTGTAATGATTTATAGCCTTGGAACTTCTAGGGAGCGGTTCTCTTCTGCCCAGTAGGGTGTCTGTGAATCAGAACCAACTTCAGGGCAGTGGGTTTGGGTTTTCATTTGTTTGTTAAGTCAGATTCGTGCCATTCCTACTTCTCCATCCGCATTCCTCTTGCTCAGGCAACACTGCCTTCTGAGAATTCCAGAGTCATCTCTTAAGTCTCAGATGTTGTTGTTGTCCGTTCCTTCTAGTCAGTTCTGATTCACAGTAAGCTCGTGTGACAGACTAAAGCTGGCCCATAGAATTTCCTAGGTTGTAATCTTTATGGGAACAGATGACCAGGTATTTCTCCCATGGAGGGTGGTAGGTGAACTACTGACCCTTTGGTTACCTGCTGACAACCATCTGGTAACAATTGTGCCCCCAGTGTTCTACTAAGTTCCAAGGAATTTTTGTTAGGTGCCACTGAGGTGATTCCAACTCACAGTAACCCCATGCACTACAGAACACAGTACTGTCTGGTCCTGGCCCATTCTCATCAGTCTCAATGGCTTGAGCTCACTGTGGCAGCCACTGCCACAAAAATGTGGCAGCCCATTTTTGGTGACTCTCTATCAACCATGATGTCCTTCTCCAGAGACTGACACCTCCTAAGAGCTTGTCCAGAGTACACAAGACCAGGTCTTACCAGCCATATTTCTAAGGAGCATTCGGGTTGGACTTTTTCCAGCAGATTTGCTCGTCCTAATGACAGTTTACGGTATGTACAATGTTCTTCACCAACGCCAGAGTTCAGCAGCATCAATTCTTTGGTCTTCCTTATTCATTGTCCAGCTTATGCACCTAGAGTGGGTGACTGACAATACTATGGCTTGGATCAAGTGCATCTGTGTCCTCAAGGTGATATCTTTGCTTTTCAATACTCTAAAGCAATCATTTGCAGCTGATTTTGCCAGAGCACTATGCCATTTGATTTCTTGACAGCTACTTTCTTGGATCAACTATCAACACTCACAGAAGCAGCAGTCAAGAAATCAAACGACATATTGCATTAGGCAAATCTGCTGCACAAGACCTTTTTAAAGTGTTGAAGAGCAAAGATGGCAGCTTGAGGACTAAGGGGCGCCTGACCCAAGCCATGGTATTTTCAATAACCTCATATGCATGTGAAAGATGGACAGTGACTAAGGAAGACCGTAGAAGAATTGATGCTTTTGAGTTATGGTGTTGGAGGAGAATATTAAAAGTGCCATGGGCTGCTAAAAGAACCAATAGATCCATTTTGGAAAAAGTGCAGCCAGAGTGCTCTTTAGAGACCAGGATGGCCAAACTTCATCTCTCATACTTGGGACATGTTGTCAGGAGGGACCAGTCGCTGGAGAAGGATATCATGTTTGGTAAGGTGGAGGGTCAGCGAAAAAGAGGAAGACCCCCAATGAAATGGACTGGCCAGGTGGCAGCATAGATGGACTCAAGTGTGGCAACAGTAGTGAGGTTGGCCCAGGATCAGGCGATGTTTCGTTCTGCTGTGCATAAGGTTGCTATGAGTCGGTACCGACTCGATGGCACCTAACAATAACAACTTTCATTTTACTAAGGCACATGGGGACCTCTAATTTAAATTTCCTCTCATCCAGAGCTGTTTTGTCTTTCGGCGGTGGGGGGGTGGGGGGATGAATAAGCTCACCTATCCACTGAAGTCCAGTCACATGACAGACAAAAGTCACACGGAGGGTTGGATCCTCCCAGAGGGAGGTGGGTGGGTTATTGCCGTAGTATCAGCTCCCATGGCCCCTCATTGTCAGCCTGGTTCCCTCTGCCTTAACTCATTGCTCTGCACTCAAGTCCTAACTCTGCTCTTACTCTTAACCCTCACTAACTCACATCCTCATTTTCTAGCCTGAGAGCCAAGCAGAAGAGTTCTCCTTCACCATGCAACCACCACCTTCCTAAATGGGAGATGCAACCACACTCTCCCAGCTTACAAAGCCTAGTGGTCCAGAGATGTCCAAGGACAGGAAAACCTTACCTTTCATGGTCAATGACTTTTCACCTGCTCCTCCTGCTCACTCGTACACATTGTCTCCCAACACTCCTCCACCCCAGGACCATGGTACCCCTTCCCCTGTGTCCCTTGCTTACTGTATAGTCTGTCCTCCTGGTGTTTGGGGCATGGTGGACACTCACTAGAAACACAGAAGTCATGGGTAATCCCAGCAGTGCTACATGGTGGCCTAGCTCTCCTGACTCCTCAGCGCCTCCACCAGCTACCCCTAAACCAACCTTGAGCAAACATACAATCTGTGCGAAACCAGTATGTTACTGAGCAAACAGAGCTGCAGAGCGAGTTTTCTACACACCCCCTTCCAGCAATCTGCCATCGGACGTGCTTCCCCCTTATAAGTATCTGAGAGCCTATACCGGGACTGCGAAAACAAAGAAAGCCATTTCCAACCTTCGCCCCAGTACACACACATTCACACACAAACACTCACACACATACACACAGACACATACTCATGCAAAGCCACACACATGCAGTTACATACAAGGGAGATTCAAAAAGTTCATGGAAAAGTTCAAGTATCTTCTAATGCCATATTTCCATGAACTTTTTAATGTTCCTTCCTACACATTCACACTCACACATGTATGCACAGATACACATTAATGTTCATGTTCATACACATACCTACAATAAAACACATTCCTACATAAACACTCTCACACGCATACTCACACAAAGTCAAGCACATGCACACACATTCAGGCAAGGAAGCTTCAAAAAGTTCATGGGAAAACTCTATCTTCTCGTTCCAATTTTTCACTGACTCTTTAATGTTCCCTCCTATGGTTACAAATCGGGCTGCTAATCTCAAAGTTAGAAGTTCAAAACTACCAGCAGTTCCACGGGAGAAAGATGAGGCTTTCTGCTCCCATAATGACTTACAGCCTCAGAAACCCTGTGCAGGGTCGCTATGAGTCGGAACCGATTCCAAGGCACATAACCACCACCACCAATACTCACAGACCTACACACATACACTCATATACACACATGCATACATAGACACACTCATATACATAGACACACACATGCACACGTGGACACACTCATATACATAGACACACACATGCACACATGGA